CCCTCCTTCTTACCTTTTCGATTATGTGTTGAAGGAACCAATAATTAACGTCGCTGTCATCAAACATGGCGCCCGGGGCGAACCAAAGCGGCGCACGAATCACAAGTCTGACCAATTCACTGGCAAGGTATCTGCCCATCATGAAGTCCAGGTTCGTAACGAGACCCATAACTGAATCTCGAAAAGGACCATCTCTTCCAAAACACCATCTTCTGGCCATCCACGAGTTCTCATCATAATGGCAAGAGATGACGTCAGCAAATCCCGACGTCATGGTTAGGAGGTGGAGAATGGTAGGGATGGCGCAGTCCGCTGGCGCAGCGCCGCCGCCGCCATCAGGCGGCGGAGTCGGAGGCTCATCCCAAGGCCCATAGATCTGAGGGCAATAGGGAGTCTTAAAACCGAGCTCGTCGGGATCCAGGTATGTGTCTATAGTGTCGGTCAGCTTGATGACACCCGCCAGCGCGAGTTGATTGATTGCGATTGCCACAAACAGGCGACTGCAAGAACCGACGGGGAAGGTGGATTGAGATTTGAACCGTGATTGAAGCTCAAAGGAGGAATAGCCGAAGTTCTGGTTATAGACGATCCGATCTCGAATAGCAATGGCAATAGACCCGCTGAAGAGGCGCTTGGCTTCGAGGCGCGCAAGGAACATGTCGGTCAGCGCAACCTGGTGGTCGTAGTCAGAGGCAGGGCGCGCATTCTCGCCGGCGACGGGGGAAGGGCGGCGCAACCCTTCGCGCACGAGCGCGTCGTACGTGAGCGGCTTCATGTTCCCTTCGGGGGACTGCGCGATGTCCGCGTGCTCGGGGCGCACGCCCAGCATCGGGATCTTGAGAGCGAAGTCCGGCCGCCGCTCATCCCCCGCCGTCGCCCCCTCTACGGAATGCATATCCATAGCCATCATCAGCGGTTGAGCTTCGCTGGGCATGGCATCTAAGTCGGGTCCCACGTGCGGACCCACACTGAAAAGCAGAGGTTCAGCGACGGCGCCCGGGGGCTGATCCTGATTGAGCGGTAAAGCGTCCGCGCCGGCGCGCGCGGGCAGATCCGCATGGAAGGCGCAACACATCACCAGAGACAGAAACAGCAGGCGTGCGCGCTCAACCTGTTGATTGGCCCTGGCGATGGCCATCCCCCCTGAAGATCCCCCCCCTCTGTGATGTTTCACTCCCATCAGCGTTCGCTCGAGATGGTTGGCACCAGGCAGACGAACGAAAAGAGAGAGAGAGAGAGAGAGAGAGAGAGAGAGAGAGAGAGAGAGAGAGAAATGTTGAGAACAGGGCTATGGCCGCGATACCCTCTGTGAGTGAAGCAAGTTGGAAATGGCGGGAGGAAGAGAGGCGAAAAGAGAAACACACACACACACACACACACACACACAGAGATGTCAACGAGGGAGATTTCTCCAGGGGCCTGTGTGTCCCAGACCTGATGGAACGACCTACCCTAGGTGTGAATGCGAGGCTCCAGTGGTGCGGGGCTAGCCAGTCTACCCCCGCACACAACCCACCCTGATCAGGATACAAGGTATCTTTGCGGTCAGATACAAGTTCATAAGAACGAAGATGAGGGTGCGTTGTGTTCGGGGGAGGAAGAGGGGGTGGTCCCCCACTTATACGTCTTCTAACTTGTTGACCTTAGTTTACAAAAAAGAAAAAAGAAAAACAAAAAGAAATGAAGAACACGCGCAAGTGGGGCATAACCCCCCCCACTCCCCCTCCCCCTCTTTCCCTCCCTCCCTCGCCACCCGCCTTGGGCATTTCGCCAGATGCCCTGGGAATGACTCTTTCTCTCTCTCTCTCTCTCTCTCTCTCTCTCTCTCTCTGTGCGTCTCTCTTCCCCCCTCTCCCTCTCCCCCCCCCGCTTTGGAAGCCGAAGGACAGGGAGACAAGGGAGTCCCGTTCCGATGCGTCCCGTTGGGTTCCGTTTCGGTCCGTTGCGCGCCGTTTCAGGCAGACACTTGCATACAGGGCGAGGTCACACTAACAAGGATCTTTCATCCTTCATTCCTGGCGGTTGATCTTTGAGATCGATGGCCGTCTTCCCCCGAACACAGCGCAGCCTCGTTGTGTCTGTACCGGACCAGAAAGCTCGCCTGTATACGTTCATTGTCAGGGTCCGTTATATTTGGGGGAAGACAGGTACAAGCGAGGTAACCAAATCATACTAAGGGCCAGGTCCCACCAGCAAAGTGGCTTGCATATGGCTTGCATATTGCGCCCAGATCAGGACGTGTTTCCGCACAGGTTCAGAAAATCGCTATTGATCTCCATGGCTGCATCTATCCATACAACGCGTCCAATCCTCGTTGGCAGCGGGTCCTCACCCTAAGAAGTACGTGGAACCGCGCCCGCTTGCATGCAGGCCTGCATGCAGGCCAGCTAGCCCAGTCATAGCTCGATTGAATATTGAATAGAATTGAAAAGAACGGCGGTGGCGGGAAAAATATCAAATCAAAAAGAGGCGGGAGTGCAGTGAAAAGGTCGCCCCTGCTGGAGGGTGCAGCTCCCGCGCATGGAGGCTTGAGAACGGATGTGGCCGGGGTTCCCCGTAAATTACGTAATACTCTCTATAATGACAATAAAAAAGGCCTGAAAGGGCCTCCTGTTCGCAGTCCGACAGGGGTGCGTTTTATGCCCCTGAGTAAATTACGTAATATTGTCTACCGCGTGGGCGCGGGGAACGCAGCCCTAAGGTAGCCAAATCAATGAGACTAAGAGCTGACACGAGAGAGAGAGAGAGAGAGAGAGAGAGAGAGAGAGAGAGAGAGAAAGAGAGAGAGTTTTGTTCCATTTATTGTTATGAGTGTGAGAGAGAGAAAGAAATAGAGAGAGAGGG